CTGTCACTGACCCTTAGTGAGCAGGGAATTCCGAGGACTCACCAGGGAGGGCCTGGGGAGCAGTGATGTGGAGCTGAGGCAGTGTGAGTCAGGCAGCTACGCCCCTGGGTCCAGCCTTCCTCTTGGGCTCAGCTGCTGTGTGGATGGAGGCGGGCCATACGCCTCTCTGAACCTCAGCTTCCTTATCTGTAACCTGGCAATGATAATATTTGTCTTCTAGTGCAGTGAGAAATTGCACCTAAGGCCTGTTGGGCCACAAAGCTAGTGTCTGCTTTTCATTTGCAAGACTGAAAGATAGAGACACATAGCAAGGCATCTTTAAACTGCTGATTACCTTGGCTGGGCTAGGCTAAAGCTAGGAGGCAGGAGCGATTCAGGACTCCCGCGTGATTGGCAGGGCTCCCAAGCACTTGGGCCATCCTCCCCACTTCTCAGGTGCACAAGCAGGGGGCTGGATCAGAAGTGGATTAACTCAGCCCAGAGCGCTAGCCTAGTGGCTAAAATCCTTGCCTTGAACGCACCAGGATCCTATATGGGTGCCAGATCTGATCCCGGAAGCCCTGCTTCTCATCCAACTCCCTGGTTGTGGCCTGGGAAAACAGTGGAGGACGGCCCAAAGCCTTGGGACCTTGGACCTGTGTGGAAAGTTCTTGGCTCCTGGCTTTGAATCAGTTCAGCCCCGGCCGTTGCGGTCACTTGGGGAGTGACTCATGGGACAGAAGATCTTCCTCTCTGTCTCTCCTTCTCTCTCTATATATCTACCTTTCCAATAAAAATAAATAAATCTTTAAAAAAAAAAAGTGGGTTAGCTAGCACTGTGCTAGAGGGTATGGGCGACTTAAGCCTGCCCCTGTTTCTGCTTCACTTTTATTTGGGAAGTAGACAGAGAGAGAGAGAGAGAGAAAGAGTATCCAGCTGCTGGCTCACAGCAGCTGGGCCAGGCCAAAGTCAGGAGCCAGAAACATCCACCCCAGCGCCCACTGGTCATTTAGCCTGCTGGTGAGAAAGCCAGTCGGAACACCTACATTCCATGACATAAGTATGTGGGTATTTTCATGCCTGTCTGTATTCCTCATTCCAGCTTCCTGCTAGTGGGCACCCTGGAGGGAGGCAGGTGCAGGCTCAAGTCGCTGGGTCTCCAGAGTATCTGGGAGACCAGGCTTAAGCTCCTGGCTCTGGCCTGGCCCAGCCCTGGCTGTCCTGGGCATTTGGAAGGCAAACAAGTGAAGAGAAGCTCTGTCTTTTGACACTCAGATATATATTTTGAAAACAAGGAACATTTGATTCTGGCCAGGGAGATCCAGGAGGGGCCCGGCTTTCTCCTGACTGCTACCCCTGGCATCGAGGCGCCAGGCAGCAGCCATCACTGGTGTTGACCCTGGCACCCGTCTGGGGCCCGGCCCTGTGGTTATTCAGAGTTGCCTGCAAGGCGCGTTTTGTGCATTCCTGGAAAATAGTCCCTGCTGGAGGAGGGGTCCTCCTCCAGCTGCAGGAGAAAACTAAGTTCTCAGGAAATACACAGGAAAAGAACGCAGCTGCTCCGCCCCTGACCCTGCTAGGGAAGGTGAGTGAGGGGGCTGGCCATGGGGTCCCTTCCTAGCCTATCTGTAGCTCAGGGTGGTGGGTGGGGGTCACCTGGCCAGCTCAGCTCAGCCCTCCCAGAGCCCCAGCTCTCCCTTTCCTTGGAGGAGTGGAGGTGGCCCAGCCTCTCGTCTGGGTTTGGAGGGAAGAAGGAGGCTGGTGGATTTGGGGACACCCTGAACAAGCTTTCAAAAATTAGTGTTCAAAAAACAAATGAGGGCGCGGCTCAGTGGCCTAGAAGCTGAAGTCCTCGCCTTGCACGTGCCAGGATCCCATATGGGCGCTAGTTCATGTCCATTTTCCATCCAGCTCTGCCATGGGAGCTTCCAAATAAATGAACAAAAATACCTACACAAAATGACATCTCTGGAGGGGCAACTCACTCCTGGGTAATATTGTGAAAAGGCTCATCCTGTATCAAAGAATGATTTATTTGAAAGAGTTTCAGAGAGAGAAATCTTGCAGCTGGTTCACTTCCCAAATGGCTGCCGTGGTCAGGGCTGGGCTAGGCCGAAGCCAGGACCCATGAGCTCTATTTGGGTCCCCCACATGGGTGCAGAGGCCCAAGCACTTATGCCATGCTCTGTTACTTTTCCAGAACTAGGAGTTAGAGTGAAAAGTGCAGATGCTGGAACCACCGCTGCCCATTGTGGAATGCTGACACTGCAGATGGCATCTTGATGCACTGTGCAACAGTGCTGGGGTACTTTTTATTTTTAAATTGAAAAGGCCGATATACATAGAGGAAGACAGACAGACAAGAAGATCTTCTGTCTGCTGGTTCTCTCCCCAAGTGGCCACAATGGCTGGAGCTGAGCCAGTCTGAAGCCAGGAACTTCTTCTGGATCTCCCACATGGGTGCAGGGTCCCAAGGCTTTGGGCTGTCCTCAACTGTTTTCCCACGCCACAGGCAGGAAGCTGGATGGGAAGTGGGGGTGCTGGAATTGGAACCAGCGCCCATATGGGATCCTGGTACATGCAAGGTAAGGACTTTGTGCACTAGGCTACTGTGCTGGGCCCTATATATATATTTTTAAATCTTCAACAAAAACTCTATTCCCAGTAACCCTGCTCCCTGCTCCAGCTCCTGAGAATCCAAGTTGTTCCACTTTCAGCCCGAGTTTGATTCTTGTAGGTATTGCGTAGAGGTTGGACCCCACACTGCGTGTCCTCTGGTGACTGGCTTGAGTCTGCAAGATCCTTCTACGCATGTGTCAGAACTTCCTTCCTTCTCTGACTGTGGCATGTTGTGTGCTGTGGACAGACCCCTCCCTCTGCGTGGGACGTTGGTGTCTGGGCCTTGGGCTGAGACCCACGCTGCTGCTGCTGCTGCGGACACGAGGCCGGTCACCTGGCTGCATCCCTGCCTCCGCTTCTTCGGGATGTCCGCGTGGCCGCCGCAGCTTGTGGTAGATCTGTGTTTGCCCTTAGAGAAACGGACACACTGATTTTTGTGCAGATGTAATCATTCATTCAAAAGGCAGAGTGCCCGAGATGGAGTTGTTTCCAGTGTTTCGTTCCCTGGATGGCCACAACAGGCAGGGTTAGGGCAGAACAAAGCCACAAAGCAGAAACTTCACCCAGGTCTCCTGAACAGGTATCAGAAACGCAGAAACAGTAGTTGGGCTGTAATCTGTTGTTTCTCAGGTGCATCGGGGGGAGGGGGCTGGACTGGAAGTGTGGAAGAGCTGGTATCGAACCAGGTGCTTTAATAGCGAATGTGGATATTCCAGGCGGCCGCTTAACCCACTGCACCACAATGCTCATCTCTGGTAAACTGTTTTCCACGGTGTCTGCATCATTTTAATTCTTACCAGCAGTACGTGTTCTGATTTTTCTGTTCCTAATTTTTCTACATTCCTGCCAACAATTGTCATTTCCTGTTTTTGGCTATTGTCATACTAATAGGTGAGGGTTTTTTTTTAAAAGGTTTATTTATTTTTAATGGAAAGGCAGATTTACAGAGAGAAGGAGAGACGGAGAAAGATCTTGTGTCCACTGGTTCACTCCCCAAGTGACTTTAATGGCTGGAGCTGAGCTGATCCGAAGCCAGAAGCTTCCTCCGGATCTCCCACGGGGGTGCAGGGTCCCAAGGCTTTGGGCAGTCCTCAACTGCTTTCCCAGGCCACAATCAGGGAGCTGGATGGGAAGTGGAGCAGCTGGGATTAAAACCGGCACCCATATGGGATCCCGGTGCGTGCAAGGCAGGGGCTTTTAGCCACTAGGTTACCATGCCGGATTCCTTGCTCTCTTTTTCATCAAATGCGAAATAGCTCTTTGGGGTCAACATGTGACAAAGTGGGTTGCACTACTGTTTTTTTTTTTTCCTCGTTGTAAATTTATTTGAAAATCCCAGGATGTGTCCCTTCCCCCACACACCCATCTCCCTTTCCCATCCCAGGACATAAAAAATATGGAATGCTTCACGAATTTGCATGTCATCCTTGCGCAGGGGCCATGCTAATCTTCTCTGTATCGTTCCAGTTTTTAGCATATGTGCTGCCGAAGCGAGCACCAGACTGCTGTTTTCAACAGTAGCATCCCATTTGAACCTCAGTTTGAGTCCTAGCTGCTCCACTTCAATCCAGCTCCCTGCTAGCGCGCTTGGAAAGCAGCAGAGAATGGTCCAAGTGTCTGAAGCCCTGCATTCACGCGTGGGAGCAGAAGCTCCTGGTTTTGGCCTGGCCCGCTCTGCCCTTTGTGGCCATTTGGAGAGTGAGCCAACAGGGGGAAGATCTCTCTGTCTTTCCAATAAATAAAGAAATCTTTTAAAGAAGAAGGAAAAAAGTTATTTTTCCTAATGATGGGCTTCTTGAAGCAATTACAGTGAAGTTGGTGTATGCTTACTTAACTAAAATCCTTTCTGCTTGTGATGCGTGGGAAATGGTGCAAATCAATGCATGACGCAATTGGGTTGAAAATGTTTCACAACAACGTGGAGAGAGTGCAAGTGCCCCTTGGCTGCCTGCTCATTTCAGCAGCATCCTTCTAGAGCTTTCTGTGCATTGACAGACACATGTGAAAACCAACATGCTTTCCACTTTTTCTATAAAATGCATCAGGCCACTTGTATTTCTCGGTGACTTTCTAAGTGGGCCGAGAGAGACGGGCCGTTTTTCCATGTGCTATCCGTAGAGCTGACCGCCGTTCCTGTATCTGGGTTTGATCCACGGATGCACTGCACTTTGCAGGTGATTCTGGAACCCTCCACAGCTGCTCGTGCGTGCCCCTCTGTGCTGGCGCCACGTGCAGGGCCAGCCCTCGTCAAGAACAATGTGTGTCCCGGTCCAGCGCCTCTGTCCTCCTCCGCGTATCCGGCCTCTGTTTTCCCATTCCTGCCGGGCCTGTGGGCTGCCGGCCAGAGGGGGACGTTTCCTGCCCAGCAGGCCTTGTTGACCTTCTGTGTCTCCACTCTGCAGGCCAAAAATAAGGAGACCGGGGCCTTGGCCGCAGCCAAAGTCATCGAGACCAAGAGCGAGGAGGAGTTGGAGGACTACATTGTGGAGATTGAGATTCTGGCCACCTGCGACCACCCCTACATCGTGAAGCTCCTGGGAGCCTATTACTACGACGGGAAGCTATGGGTAAGCTGCCTCTCTCCTTCTGGCCCCACAACGTGGTGGGCGGGGTCTCGCCTGGTCCTGAGGTTTTCAGCTCTGTCTGTGCATCTGGTTCAAGGGTAAGAGAAAGGTGAAGTGGGGAGCTCTGGGCCTCCTGCCAGCTCCCCCCCACTTTCTAGGGAGCCTACCTCTCCAGGATGGATCCTGTGGTTTGGGACAGGAGGTAATTCTGGGGCTCTGCTGCCTGGCTAAGCATCCCAGCACAAACTCGGTAACCTTCGCCAAGGCTGAGCTGCTTCGTGCCTTGGTTTCTCTGTCTGTAGGCTGGGCGCAATAGTACAAGTTGAACATTTCTAACCCAAAGTGCTTGGGGATCTGAGCCTTCTTGAGCTCAGTCACTCCAAAAAGTTTTTGGATGTGGAGGCATCTCAGGTTACAGATGCTTAGATTGGGGATGCCAGAGCAGTGAGGACAACAGTGCCCATGTTCCCAGGCGCTTTGGGTAAAGTGGAAGGCCTGGGGACAGATATAGAGTGGGGACAGGGATTAGAGTGAAGAGACGTGTGCTAGCTGGTTTGTGGGGTGCCTGGGCTGGCTAGGAGCATGCGTGTGCCCTGGCTGCGTGTGTGCCGGCTGCTGCGTTACTTATGTTGCTAGTGCCGCACCCATGCCCAGCAGGCTGCCACGTGCAGATTCCTTCCGGCGGCTGCTCCCTAGCCCCCTCTCCTGTGACACCCTCATCCCTGGATGTGCGCAGCGCAGATGGCAGCTCCAGGCCTCATGTGTCAGACCCAGCACCACCCTCAGCTGTAAGCCGGGGGTACTGGGGTGTCCCTGCTTCTGTGTGGGACAGGCTGTGTTCTCGCTGACATCCCCCTGAGATGAGTGCCTCTTGCATACGAAAGCTGAAACTCCTGAGGCGACTTCTGCCCGAAGTTGTCTTTAGTCAATGTTTTGAATGGAAGAACCTCATACTTAGACTCAGGCATGTGGCACTGCAGGTCAAGCTGCTGCTTGGGATGCCACGTTGCACATCAGAACCCTGGTTCAAGTCCAGGCTATTCCACTTCTGGTTCAGCTTCCTACTGACGTGTCCTGGAGGGGGCAGGTGGTGGCTCAGGTGTACGGGCCCCTGGCTCCTGGCTTTGGCTTGGGCCAGCGCTGGCTGTTGGGGCACATGGAGAGTGAACTGGTGGATGGGAGATTTCTGTTTCTTTTCTTTCTCTATCATTCTTGCCTTTTCTTCAAGTAGATGGAAATAGGTTTTTCAAAATATGTATTTGTAATTCAGAACTGTGCACACAGGGTCACATGGGACAGTTGTGAGGCTGGCAGGATCCAGGCAGCTGTTTGCAGAGGGAGCGAGTGGTCAGCTGAGGCCCGAGGACTTGGGCTGTGGTGGTGCAGCTGAAAATCCCCAGGGTCCATTTTTCTTTCTTTCTTTTTTAAAATTTTACTTGAAAGTCAGAATTGTCGAGAAAGGGAGAGACTGAGAGAGATCTTTCATCCTCTGGTTCACTCCCCAATTGGCCACAATGGCCAGAGCTGAGCCGATTCAAAGCCAGGAGCCAGGAGCCTCCTCTGGGTTTCCCACATGGGTCCAGGGTCCCAAGGACTTGGGCTTTCCCTTACTGCTTTCCTGTGCCACTAGCAGAGAGCTGGATGTGAAGTGGAACAGCTGGGCCTAGAAGTAGTGCCCATAAGGAATGCTGGTGCTTTAGGCAGAGGCTTAGCCCCAGCCTTTGCCATGGCACCGTCCCCACCTTTGATCTTGACCCCCAGTGTTGCTCCTGTCCAGCCACCCTCTCATCTGCCCTCTGTCTGTCATTCATCATCTAGTCTGTTCATTCAGTGTTGAATTACTGCTGACTGTGGGATGATTTAAAAACAATCTACTGAAAATTCAGTCCTGCTGCTGCTGCTGGTGGCTGGACATCAAGTTCATTATTTCCCCAGGTCCAAGGATAACAGGAGGCATTTGTGTAAGGCTTGCTGAGGGCTCGGCCTCTGGCCATGAGCTTCATACACTTTCTGTGATTCGATCTGTTTCTGTGCAATGGGTGTTTGTCTCCCCCATCCTGTGACCACCTGTTAAAAAGTAGCAGGGTTAGAAAGACAGATAGAAGGGAGGAAAAAAGACAGAGGGAGAGAATGATTCCCAACCGGATGGTGAAAGAGCGAAGAAGGCCTTGTGGTAGTTGAAACGGATAACACTGGCATTTTCTGTCCCAGAGTTGTCACTTCAGGCCTGGTGTTTCTTATCCAGGCTGCCCCTACAGCCCAGGATGATAACTGCGTAGATCCTTGAAGGTTCTGCCTTCTCATGGCTGATGTTTTGTGTTTGCGATGTGGTTAGGTCATAGAAGGTAGCTGTGGACCTGGGTGGGAGAGGAGGGGGCCAGGATATCCCGCCAAGATGAAGACATTGCATCTGGTGGGGCATTTTTGTTTGTTTTTAAGATTTATTTTCAGGCACATTTACAGAGAGGAGACATAGCAAGATATTGTACCCACTGACTCATTTCCCAAATGGCCGTAACAGCCGGAACTGAGCTGATCTGAAGCCAGGAGCTTCTTTTGAGTCTCTCAATGAGGTGCAGGGTCCCAAGGCTTTGGGTCATCCTCTGCTACTTTCCCAGGCAACAAGCAGGGAGCTGGATGGGAAGTGGAGTAGCCGGGACACAGAATATGGATTGGCGCCCATATGGGATGGCAGCACTGCAAGTGAAGGCTGAAGTTACGCTACCATGGTGCTGGCTCCCTACACTTGACCATTTAGAGCAGTGACTCTCAAAGCACAACAGCATCAGCCTCTCCTGGGACCTGTTGAGCTACAAGGTGGGACCCAGCAATCTGCATTCTAGTGCCTCTCAGATGACTCTGTTCATTGTCTCATTTAGAGAACCATTGTGTAGGCTCAAGGGGGACCCAGTGGCAGAGACCATGGTGGAGAGACCACGCTCAGCTCTGGGAAGGAGTCAGCTGTGAAGGGCCCAGCAAGGCCTAGAGGCTGATCAGAGGCTCCAGATGTGACGTGGGCTAGAAAGGCTTCAGTAGAAGGGAGACATAGGACCTGGGTCTTGCAGGCTGCGTAGGAGTCCGCCAGGGGGATAAGGAAGTGCAGTGTCATTGGGGAGACCCATAACAGCAAAAGCCAGGAAGGGAGAAGTCATGGAGCATTCGCTACGCGGAGAGAGGGTTCAGTAGTCCTTTGCCGTTGCCTTCTGCGAGGTGACTCAGGGTCACCCCATGGCCACGTCCTGGGCCCACGCTGATCCCAGAAGCCAGCTTGTTCCTGTATGTGCCCTTGACCAAACCAGTCCTGACCCCCCAGGCTGTGTTCTGAGGGCCTTGGCATTCAGAAACTGGCTGTTGGCCTTGTGTCCTGGGTCCACCTGCAGCTGTGGCAGCCAGGGCTTTGTCCCCATGCAGGGCAGGAGTCCTTTGCCAAACCATGCACTTGCGAGCTGACACTGTTTGTTCATTCGCTCATTCCCCTCACCCGCAGAGTGAGTCATCTTGGCCAAATCCTTCTAGTGGGTTCTTATCTGCACTTCTGCTTTGAAATATCAAATAGCACCAGAGGGGTTGAAGAGAGCAACATGAAATGTTCTAAACCAGTCCTGGCCAGCCACAGCCGTCTTGTCACACTTCTGTTACTGCTTATATAGAGCTTTATTTATTTATTTGAAAGTCTGCATTACAGAGAGGGAAGCTTGTGCTTAAGTCCTGGCTGCTCCGCTTTCGATCCAGTTCCCTGCCAGTGCGCCTGGGAAGGCAAGAGAAGATGGCACGAGTGCTTGGGTCGTGGCACCTCTGCACGGGAGAGCAGGATGGACGCCCTGACTCCTGGCTTAGATCTGTCTCAGAGCTGGCTGATGGGAACATTTGTTGAGTGAACCAGCAGATAAAAGATTTTCTGTCTCTCCCCCTCTCTGCCACTCTCCCTTTCAAACGAATGGTTAAATCGCTAAATAAATAAATAATGTTTTAAGAAAGAAAAAAAAACCAGCAGAACAAACAGCTAAACTTATTTCAGTAGTACAAGGTGTTTAAATAGTGTGTGAAAACCTGATGTTTGTGACACGGACTAGCATAAGCCTTGTTATGAGAGAGCCCATTTTTGCCCCCAGCCTTGGAGTCCCGGGTGTGCATGGCCTTCCCAGCGTATGTGAGCTGAGGAGCCATTCATGGCAGAACCCCTGCTCTGTACTTAGGGGTGCACATGCCACCACTTGGGATTTATGGCTGCGAAGAGCAGATTCACATCTCCAAGTTAGTCCACCATTTTTTGTTTTGTAAAGATTTATTTATTTGTTTGAAAGGCAAAGTTACAGGGAGGAAGAGATGGAAAGAAGGACCTTCCATCCGCTGGTTCAGTCCCCTTATGGCGGGAGCTAAGTGGTCAGGAGCCAGGAGCTTCTTCTGGGTCTCCTGTGTCGGGGACAAGGGCCCAAGCGCCTGGGCCATTCTCCTGTGCTTTCCCCAAGCGCACCAACAGGGAGCTGGATCAGAAGTGGAGTAGCCGGGATATGAGCGATGCCCATATGGGATGCTGGCACCACAGGCAGTAGCTGTATGCACTGCACCACGATGCCTGCCCTGGTCTGTCATTCCCTGGAAAGGGATCCTGTCCACTTCAAGTTGGTCAGAATTGAATGAACTGATACATTATGTTCCGCACTTGGCCCCACTTTGGGGGACTCCCGTGGTGGGGTGCGGCTGGAGGCTGCCGGCGTAGGCAGCTCAGTGTGCTCTACATTCCCCCCGACCCCGCTTGAAGTGGGGCAATTCCAGAAACCCTGGGCCAGCCTCCTGAGTTCCCTTGGTGCTGTCACTGTGCCTGCACCCAGCCTGGGTCAGATTCTAGGACCTGCGCAGGTGTTGGGTCTGTTTGCCAGCCTGAGGAGAGTATGCAACTACCTGCTTAACCACCAGCTCTCTGAGAAGAACGGTGGCTTAGGATAGCGCATGTACTGCCAGGGCACTCTGTGTTCACCTGCTAGGGTACTGTCCCTGACACA